ATACTCAACTGTCTGGGTGGTGCTTTCTGGGAATGCCCTTAGATCAACACACTGGGACAGTAACAGATAAGTACAGACAGACTGGATGGAGTTTAACTGGGTTCCTTAATAAGTTTTGTAGCTCTATTTAAAAATTGTATACCTATATTATGATAGTTAAAATAAAAGTTAAATTTAAATACAAATTCCTAAATCTCCTATGCAGAAGAATTCCAAATGATGTATACTTCATCCTCAAGGAAGCATCAACTCCCACTCCCTAAGTGCAGGCTATGTGTAGTGCTTTCCTTCCAAAGAAGACAGTATGGAAAGGTGAGGAAAGAGTAACTTTACAGTGGAGAAACCTGACAAACACTTTCTCAGTCAGACGATCAAGATCACCATCAACAGTGATAAGTCATGTTGATGGTATGTACCCTTGACAGGATGTGAGGAGAATGGTATTTCACCTCCCCAAAACCCATAGCCCCAGTCTAATCATGAAAAAAGATATCAAATTCCAGTAGGAGAGCATCCTACAAAATGCCTGCCCAGTACTCCTCAAAACTGCCAGGGTCATCAAAAACACAGAAAATCCAAAAAACTGCCATAGTCAAGAAGTGCCTGAGGAGTCACGACGACCTAGTGTAAGGTGATATCCTGGATGGATCCTAGAACCAGAAGAAGATATTTGGTAAAAACTAAGGAAATCTTCCATCAACAGATGGATGGACAAAGAAGATGTGGTACATATACACAATGGAACATTATTCAGCTGTAAAAAGAAAAGAAATCCTACCATTTGCAATAACATGGATGGAGCTAGAGGGTATTATGCTCAGTGAAATAAGCCAGGCGGAGAAAGACAAACACCATATGATTTCACTTATTTGTGGAGTATAAAAACAAAGCAAAACACAAGGAACAAAACAGCATTAGACTCACAGACACTGAGAAGTGACTAGTGGTTACCAAGGGGGAGGGAGGAGGACTGTTGAACCACTGTAATATACATTTAATTAAAAAAAATTCTATATAGTATCTCATGGAATTAACATCCAACTGATTCATATACTTCTAAATAAATATATTTTTTTCATATCACAAAATCTACACAAGCTTATCATAGGAAAAATAGGCTAGAAACTGCTATTTTACTCTATGTCATTCAAAATGTAAAATGAGATGTTTATTTTTATGACTCACTTTTCACTTAACATTATACATCTTTCCACATTGTTAAATGGCATGACTTTAAATACAATTTGCAACATAATACTTATTTCATCATGCTCTTATAATGAGCATTAAGATGATTTCTCATTTTTTGCTGTTATGATGAAATCTGTGAATACAGTATTCAGCTTGTAGGAGGTTCTCAATAAAAATGTTATGGCATGAATGAAACAAAAAAACTAAGGAAATCTGAATAAAATATCGACTTCAGTTCACAATAGTGTATGAATATTGGTTCATTTGTTTTAACAAATGTACCATACTAATTGTAAGATGTTCATAATGAGGGAAACTAGATCTGAGGTATATGGAAACTGTCTTTTCACTTGTGTACATCTAAAACTGTTCTAAAAAAGAAAGTCTACTTTAAAAAAATTACTCTTTGGTCAATTAATCAATTAAATCACTCCTTTTGGTCTAGGTCTTCATTCAGTCAACAGTTACTAATAGTTAATTTGTATTAAGCATTTTCTTGATATGGTCACAGTGCTGAGTGATTTGCATAATATCCTACAACACAGTGCTATAATGTAGACTTTCCTCACTTTTACAAATTTAGAAAGCAGAACATAAGAAAGCTCATTCATGCAATTGTTTAATAAATATTTATTAGTGAATTAGTGACTGCCCCACCACCCTGGGTCTCTTCAAGTAAGTGTCCTGCAGGGGCCTCATGTGCAGCTGTCTGGATTGAGCTCAAGCATGTGACCTCCACTTCACCCCCGCACCCCCCACCCCCGCCCCAGCTCTTCCTCCTGCTGGACAATGGTGACACTGTACCATCTGCCGGGGCTCCCCAGGAGTCATCCTGCACTCTTCCTGCACCCCCCACATCTAACTTGATGCTAAGTCCAGTGGGTCCTTCCTCAGAAATGTCTCCCCATTCTGCTTGTCTTTCCAGGTTGGGCCCTAACTGCTTATCCTGTTCTGCCTCAGGTCTCATCCTCTCTGATGTGGACTCCACCCAAGCTACCACCCAAGCCCGAAACCACATCAGATGATCTCATCCCCAACCAAAGCCTTCTGATGGGCCATTCAACAGCTTTCACAGCCTGGTCACAGCTGGTCCCATATCCTTCACTGCCCTGCTCCCTACTGCTTCAACTTTTCCCCCAAACTTCACACTGCTTGCAGGCCTTTGCTCTTAGTTTTCTTGAGGCTGCCTAATGCCTTCCCGTGGAAATCATACATGCACTTCAAGACTTGGCTCAAATTCACCTGCTTTCATACACTCCTCTCTCTTCCTGGGCCAGCAGTCAGCTCAGCGCAACCACTACATGGATTCTGAGGTGTAGGAGCTGGCTGGCGGATCTGTATCTCCATCTGTGAGTTCCTTGAGGTGCTTCTGTGTTCCTGTGCTTAGGAATATTTGGGTTATTCCCCACAATCAGCCACATTTACAGTTTATTGAGCACATGCTCTATATTGAACATTATCCTATAGCAACGAGCTTTCACCCAGATCACTTCATTTACTCTTCAGCACAGACCTATTGTGTAAGTATCATTATATTTATTTCTGTAGAGGAGGAAACTGAAGCTAAGAACATTAAATGTGCACAGTATCACAGCTGGTGAGTGATTGGGCCCAGATAAGAAGGCTGATCTCTGGCTCTGGCTCCAAAGTCCAGCCTAAGGATTGAAGAATGAGAATGTGCAGGACTACTGCTGTAATCAACTCAAAAAGACGGATGTACCACATCTGTAGCGAGTGAGGCCAGTACCTCCCAGAGGGCTGTGGAACACAAGAGAAAGGCTTTGGGGACAGTGAGGAGCGACTAGAAGGACTCTGTCCCTCAGATGCCCCTCCTATGCTGACTGGGCTCCATGAAGGGAAGACACTGTTCCTGCATAGCCCAGGCCTAAGGAATCAACTGTGCACCCTTCCCTCAGCTTGCCCTGAGAGTGTGAACAGTGTGGGGGTGAACTCTTCAGCATCTGCTTGGATCTGAATACTGCCTCCTGCTTCAGTACTTCTTGGCTACATAACCTTGGACAAATGGCTCCATCATTCTGAATTTCAGTTTCTGCTTTTGTAATGTGGGGGAAAGAGCAGTACTCTTTGCTCCTACTATTTCACAGCATTAGTAGGAGGGTAAAAGGAAATAACAGTGAATATTAGGAATTTAGTGTGGTACTTGGCACATCGTTGGTGCTCAGTATATGTACCTTTTATGATTATTTGACCTTTGGCTAGACTTATTTGTGTTGCCTTAATGCAGGTGGCAGGTGATCTGGGGTGGAGGACAGAGCAGGGCAGCTCCAGGACTGGGATCACTTTTCCCACGGCAGGAACCTCCTGCTTTCCCTCCCATCTCTGGCACCTTCCCTCCTCCGACCTAGCCTGCGGGGCAGTGCCCCTGCTGGAAGAGTGGCGTAGTCACCAATGATTTCAGGCGGGAGAGGTGAGACCCGGGCGTGATGGGAAGGTGTTTGTACTGCGTAACCTGTCTCCCGGTCCGGGGCCAGGGCCACTCAGGTTCAGAGGGCCCTCGGTGGGGGCTTAGGAGGGTTCAGTCCTCTGCGCCTGGTACGAAGGTTTGGAAAGAGTAGTTTAAGCACACAGTGCACAGTGCAACCCAGGAAGCTTTTGCGAGTAAAGGAGGAGCTCTTAGTCATTACCTTCGGGCTACCCTTTAAAGTCGGGACCGCGGTGACCATGGCCAAGAGCCTACCACTTTAGCAAGGTACAGTCCACGGGCCCTAGAAAGGAACAGACTTCTAATCGGTGAGAAAGAGAAAACCTCAGTCGCACTCGAACCCTCGAATTTCTGCAGCTTAAGACTTCCCAGCCACCTCCAACTTCACTTGTCCTTGGTTCCTGCCTGGTTTTGCAGGTATTTGTTCCCCACTCCTCAGTGCTTCCAGAGAGCTGTGGCCACGTCCCTGGGAAAGCTGCCGTTTGTCCGTGTTGTTCTCTGCCGTATCCCCAGAGCCTGGAACACTGCCTGGCAGAATGTGCACTCAGATGGAACGTGTAAGCTTCTGAACAAATCCATCACTCTACTAGCATTAATGATCTATTTACTGGCCCATCGCCCCTGCTGTATTATGACCTTCAAGGACGGTACTGTACTTACCTGTGACCCCTGCTTCTAACCCAAAGCCTGGCAGAGTACATGCTCAATATCGTTTTGTGGAATGAGTGAATGGAAGCTGCCAGACCCCTTCTGACGCTCCTTCCGTCTCCCCGTACACCGAAGAGCCACTGTGGAACAGGTTAGGTAGAACATAGCTTCCCGCACGCCGGGCCACCTGCTCTGCCACTTCCCGGAAAATGGTGGCGCTTGAATGCGGGAGAAGCCAGGACTGCTTGCCTGTGCCCTGTGAAAGTAGTACCAAGACACAGATAAGACTGAGGAACGGGAGGCTCTCCTGGGGACCTAGGGCAGCGGGCTGTTTAGAGAGGCGGGTGAGGCCGCTGGACAGGCAGGCTACGTCGTCCATCTGACGGAGGGAAACGGGTTTGCCTCCGAAGCTGCGGCTGGACGGCGCTGGGAGGGTCGGCAAGGGGCTAAAAAAGCCGGGATTGCCTCCTGGTGCCAAAGCCTGGAGCTGCAGCAGGGGCCTGGCGGGAGGGCCCGGCTCACCACTCCGCTGGTCACCAGCTCTGACGCGTCCCGGGCTCCGCCCGCAGCCAGCTCGGGCCTTAGAGAGCGGGCTGGGCCTCGGCCCCGCCCTGTCTCCGCAGCCCTCGCCGCGCCTCCCGGTGGCTGGCGGGCCCCGTTACCGAGCTAGCCGCCGAGGGGACGCTGAGAAACCGGAAGTGACGTTGAGGCCCGCGTCCCGGGGGCGGGAGTCAGCTGAGCGGCCGCGGTGAGGTTGGGATCGCCTGGGTTCGGCTCCTGAGGGCCGGTGATCCCTTGAGGGCGGCATTGGTGCGCAGGACTGAGCCAGAGTCAAGGGGGAGGGCTCCTCGGTCTTCTCGCTCTATAAGGCGAGATCGAGATCTTCAGTATTTTAAATAAGAGGAGTGGACGGCAGATTGCCAGGATCTGGTAGATCTCTGTGGAAGCTGGGGAGTCGCAGCTTCCAATCCGTGGCGACGGGGATCCCCTGGGGGGAAGCCCTGTTGTAATCCCTGGGCCCGGGACGGAGGGCCCAGAGGCCGGGCACCATGGCGTCCATCCTGGATGAATACGAGGATTCCCTGTCCCGGTCGGCAGTCTTGCAGCCCGGCTGCCCTAGCGTGGGCATTCCCCACTCAGGTAAGGGAGAGGGCTCCGGTGATCCTCTTGGTTCCCCTAGCACATTTGGAGAAGGAGCAGGGAGGGTGGCTCCAAGAGCTACGGTTCTCCTCCTAGACGTGCATCCAGGTCTAGGCCCCAGATTTTCCTTGGGCTCTCTTGGCCCCCAGCTGTTGGATGGTCGAAATTTGAAAGAGCAGACCCCGCGTGATCTAGGCAATGTTATAGGGTCCTTCTAAGAGGGAACTGGGACCCAGATAAAGAAGTCACTTACCTACAGTGCTGCAGTTGGGAGAACTGAGAATAGGCTCCATGCTTCGTCTGATTCTGCGCTTTCCTCATCAGTTCTCTTTTAGAGGTGGGAGAAAGAGAATGGACAAAGAAACTGGTGAAAGGGGAATTGTTGTAGGGGAAGGAACTTTGTCACTGAACATGGAAACACGAGTTCTTTTAGGCCTTTGCCAGAGCTGGGTGCAGCCTGGAGTTGACAGGAAATTTTTGTATAAAGTAGTATAGAGTTGGCAGAGGGGTCTGAAGTGATGGATATTTTGAGCAGTAGTAAAAGAGAAAGTAAAGGCTAGAGAGGAAGCAGCTGCAGTTTGTTAACCAACTGATTGGAACAGTTCCGCAGGGCTCTCTGCCTCATTCTTCTGGAGGCTCTTAGCGCATTATTACATGGGCAGTGAGCAGGGGACAGAGTGGAACTAGACTAGTTGAGTTGAGATTCCTACAGAGTGGAATTAAACTAGTTGAGTTGGGATTCCTGGGTCAAAGATTGATAAGGGAGAATGCCAACCCTTTCCCCCCATTACCACTGGAGCAGGTACATCATGGTGTAACAGAATCCCAACGGTTCAAAGAATCAATCCCTCACTGCTGTCAGAAGTGTGGGAAGAGCCCAGGACTCCTAATGTAGAGGTGATTAGCAAACTACTTGATATTATTGATATTAACTGTTAAGTGAAAGTCCTGGAGTAGGAATATGTTGGGAAAGTAGAGAGGAGCATTGTTTTTTGTTGTTGTTGTTGCCTCTTTTTTCCCTTCCTCCATCTCTTCCATAGCTAATCTTTTCTTTGCTCCTTACCTGTAGGGTATGTGAATGCCCAGCTAGAGAAGGAGGTGCCCATCTTCACGAAGCAGCGCATTGACTTTACCCCATCTGAGCGTATCACCAGTCTTGTTGTCTCCTGCAATCAGCTCTGCATGAGCCTGGGCAAGGATACACTGCTCCGGTAAGCGGGGTCCCAAAAGTTCAGGAGTAGGGAGTGGATTGATGGTGTTTGGGGACTATTAACTGACTGGGGCTTTTCTTCCACCCTAGGCAGATGAAACAGTGGATTTGGAATTTTCAGAAAATACCCCTTCCCAAAGGGAACCAATGAAATATAGTAGAGAATCAGGTAGACCTGGATTCACATCCTAGCTTTCCCATTTACCAGCTATGGAATGTTGAGCAAGTCACCCAGTTTCTCTAAATGAGTCCCTTCACCTATTAAAAATAGTACCACCTACAGGTTAGTCACATAGATCAGTGGAACTGTTTAGTGGATTTAAAATAAATCCACTACAGATGGAAATAACATACCTCAGTAAAACCGGAAATAATTAAGTAAATAAATGGAAGTAATATATGACAAAGGGGTCAGCAAGATTGTTTATCTATTTGAAATAACCATCTAGGATAAAATAGCTAAGCCTCTGAATCACAAAAATGAATTCTAGGTGGCATAATTTAAATATAAAAAGTAAACAATCTGACTGTTAAAAGAATATTTACTAAATTTCTATGTTCTTGGGCTGAAGGGAGACCTTCTTACTCAAGCTAGAAAAATCCAGATGCCACAAGGAAAAAGAAAGATATATTTGACTACATAATAATTGCTGTTATGCAAAATAAAAACAAAAGAGCATATGAATCAGGCCAAGACAAAGAATGGTGGGAAAATGTTTTTTCACGTATGACTAAGGATTTACATTGCTGTGCCTCAAAAACCTCTTACAGATTCCCCTCACCCGTCACACAAATTGAAAGTCAGTCCTTGACACAAGGATTTGTGTTTTTTTTTTAAGATATAAATTAATAAGAAAAAGACAATTCAGTAGAAAGGGAAGGGCAAAGAATATAAACAAGCAGTTCACATAAGAGGAACTCCGCAAATTTCTAGTAAACATCTGAAAATTTTTTTCAACCTCTGGGAAATGCAAATTAAAGTAACAGTAAGACACGTTTTTTTTTTAACTTATCAGATTGGCAGAAATTAAAAACAGTAATATATGGTGCCGATGAAGATAGACAGAAATGAACTCTCATACATTGCTGCTGAGAGTAAAATTGCCACATCATTTTGAAAAGTAATCTGGCAATGTCTATTAAAACTTAATATATCTACAACTTTGACCAAGGAATCCCAGTTTGAGGAATACATAACCATAGAAAGAAAAGTACCAGTTTGCAAGGACATAGATACAAGGATATTGATTGCAGCACCACTTGTGAAAGGAAAAACTGGACCCAAGCTGAATCTGTTGACCCAGTGGGATGTGTTCATTAAATACCATTAAGTGAGAAAAGCAAGTGATAACTTAATATGCATACACACACATATACACACTATGAAGGCATTTTTGTAAAAACAGTGACAAAACCATCCTTTTTTATGTTACATGTCGAGAAAGATGTTAACATCAGTTTTCTCTGTTGGGAATGACAGGTTTGAGAAGAAAACCATTAACTTTTTCTTTATACATATTTATATTGATTATTTAGAATGAGCGTATAATTTGAAAATAATATAATAAAGGAGATATAATTTAAATAGGAGTGTACCTCAAGGTGAAGATTGACTGAGATAATACTAGATTGAACTCTTGGTATGGTGCCTAGTATACCTACTCAGGAACCATTAGCCACTATTTGTTTTTCCCTTTTTACTCCAGCAATCTGGCATACCCCTGACCATCTTTCCAGATGCACTGCAGATCTGTTGAGGAGAGGGAAAATATTTCTGCTCACTGACTTCTCAAAAGGAGGTCAGGGAATTCTCAGAGCTGAGGTTAAGCAGGACCCTGTATGTGGAATGTGGAATGTTTCAGAGTTCCCTTAGGATTATATTCAGAATTTTATGTGTATGTGTAGATTTCAGGGAATAAAGGCCATGTCTTTCATCAGGTGGTAGAAAGGTCTCTGGAGTGATGCTGTGACTCTTGTCCCAACAGCATTGACTTGGGCAAGGCAAATGAGCCCAACCATGTGGAGCTGGGGCGGAAGGATGATGCCAGAGTTCACAAAATGTTCCTGGACCACACTGGTAGGTGGTGAGAGATGTCCACGGTGTGGGAGGCAGGGAGATCTGAGGGTGGTGGAGGCAAGGTGGAGGCTGAGGGTGGGAATGGCAGCATCCTCTAGGGTGCCATGCTCTCCCCTACTCCAGGCTCTCACCTGCTGATTGCTCTGAGCAGCACTGAGGTCCTCTATGTGAACCGTAATGGACAGAAGGTACGGCCACTGGCACGCTGGAAGGGGCAGCTGGTGGAGAGTGTGGGCTGGAACAAGGCCCTGGGCACCGAGAGCAGCACAGGCCCCATCCTGGTCGGCACTGCCCAAGGCCAGATCTTCGAAGCAGAGCTCTCAGCCAGCGAGGGTGGGCTTTTCGGCCCTGCCCCGGATCTCTACTTTCGTCCACTGTATGTGCTAAATGAAGAAGGGGGTCCAGCTCCTGTGTGTTCCCTTGAGGCTGAGCGTGGCCTGGATGGGCGTGGTTTCGTAATTGCCACCACTCGGCAACGCCTCTTCCAGTTCATAGGCCGAGCAGCAGAGGGAGCTGAGGCCCAGGGCTTCTCGGGGCTCTTCGCTGCCTACGCTGACCACCCACCCCCATTCCGTGAGTTCCCCAGCAGTCTGGGCTATAGCGAGTTGGCTTTCTATACTCCTAAGTTGCGCTCTGCACCCCGGGCCTTTGCCTGGATGATGGGGGATGGCGTGTTGTATGGAGCGTTGGACTGCGGGCGGCCTGACTCCCTCCTAAGTGAGGAGCGAGTCTGGGAGTACCCAGAAGGGGTAGGTCCTGGGGCCAGCCCACCCCTGGCCATCGTCTTGACCCAGTTCCACTTCCTGCTGCTACTGGCAGACCGGGTGGAGGCAGTGTGCACACTGACGGGACAGGTGGTGCTGCGGGATCACTTCCTGGAGAAATTTGGACCACTGAAGCACATGGTGAAGGACTCCTCCACGGGCCACGTGTGGGCCTACACAGAGCGGGCTGTCTTCCGCTACCATGTGCAGCGAGAGGCCCGGGATGTCTGGCGCACTTACCTGGACATGAACCGTTTTGACTTGGCCAAAGAGTATTGTCGAGAGCGGCCTGACTGCCTGGACACTGTCCTTGCCCGGGAGGCTGATTTTTGCTTTCGCCAGCGTCGTTACCTGGAAAGTGCCCGCTGCTATGCCCTTACCCAGAGCTACTTTGAGGAGATTGCCCTCAAGTTCTTGGAGGCCCGACAGGAGGAGGCTCTGACTGAGTTCTTGCAGCGAAAACTGGCCAGTTTGAAGCCAGCCGAGCGTACCCAGGCCACACTGCTTACCACCTGGCTGACAGAGCTCTATCTGAGCAGGCTCGGAGCTCTGCAGGGTGACCCAGAGGCCCTGAACCTCTACCGGGAAACACGGGAGCGCTTCCGTGCCTTCCTCAGCAGCCCCCGCCACAAGGAGTGGCTCTTTGCCAGTCGGGCCTCCATCCATGAGCTGCTTGCCAGCCACGGGGACACGGAACACATGGTGTACTTTGCTGTGATCATGCAGGACTATGAACGGGTGGTGGCGTACCACTGCCAGCATGAAGCCTATGAGGAGGCCCTGGCTGTTCTTGCCCGCCACCGTGACCCCCAGCTCTTCTACAAGTTTTCACCAATCCTCATCCGTCACATCCCATGTGAGCTGGTGGATGCTTGGATTGAGCTGGGTAGCCGGCTGGATGCTCGGCAGCTCATTCCTGCCCTGGTGAACTATAGTCAGGGGGGTGAGGCCCAGCAGGTGAGCCAGGCCATCCGCTACATGGAATTCTGTGTGAATGTGCTGGGCGAGACTGAGCAGGCTATTCACAATTACCTGCTATCGCTGTATGCTCGAGGCCAGCCAGCCTCATTGCTGGCCTACCTTGAGCAGGCTGGTGCCAGCCCACACCGTGTGCATTATGACCTCAAGTATGCGCTGCGGCTCTGTGCTGAACATGGCCACCACCGTGCTTGTGTCCATGTTTATAAGGTCCTGGAGCTGTATGAGGAGGCTGTGGACTTGGCCTTGCAGGTGAGCCAATGAACCTTAACACTGTCCAGAAGAGGGACTTGGAGAGCAGTAGCTTAGATGCCAAAGGAGTGGGGGTGTGGCCAGGGGATGCTACTTCCCTTGCATAGAGGTTAAGAACATGGACTCTGAAGTCAGGTTCTGCCACTTATTAAGTTGTGTGACTTTGGGCTGGTTTCTTCACTTCTCTGTGCCTCAGGTTTTTTAGCTGCAGAATGGGGGTAACATAGTACTTACCTCATAGGGTTGATTAAAGTACCACATCTGGAAAGGACTCAGAACAGTGCTTGGTACGTAGGTGAGTTCTACATACATACTAGCTTTGCATTTTATGGGCACAATTGCAAAAGGGAAAGGTGCTGAGTTACATTTTTCAAATCATGAATTATGATTTGTGCCTTAGGATCACATGAAGTGCTATTTAAAATGCAAATTCCTGGGTCTGAATTCAGGACTTACTGAATCAAAATTTCTGAGGGTAGGGCCAAAAATACTGTATTTTGAATATGTTTTCAAGGTGATTTTTAAATTCACTAAAATTAAAACCCTATCATCCTAAATAGCTTTTACTTGGCTGTGACAGGGACAGCACATTGCTGAGAAAGGTTCCTATTCCAACCTCCAAGAGTCCCATCTCCCTTGATGGTAGGAATGCTAGGAATCCTGTCTTGCGGCCTCTCCTTGGGCCCATGTTCTCTCTGGGCATCTGCCTCTCCCACAGTCTCCATCCTGGTTTATGGGGAGGGGTCTGACCCTAACACCTTGTTCCTCCACAGGTGGATGTGGACCTGGCCAAGCAGTGTGCTGACTTGCCTGAGGAAGATGAGGAACTGCGCAAGAAGCTGTGGTTGAAGATTGCCCGGCATGTGGTGCAGGAGGAGGAAGATGTGCAAACAGCCATGGCCTGCCTGGCCAGCTGCCCCCTGCTCAAGATTGAGGATGTCCTGCCCTTCTTTCCTGACTTTGTCACAATAGACCACTTCAAGGAGGCGATCTGCAGCTCACTTAAGGCCTACAACCACCACATCCAGGAGCTACAGCGGGAGATGGAAGAGGCCACAGCCAGTGCCCAGCGCATCCGACGGGACCTGCAGGAGCTGCGGGGCCGCTATGGCACCGTGGAGCCCCAAGACAAATGTGCTACCTGTGACTTTCCCCTGCTCAATCGCCCTTTTTACCTTTTCCTCTGTGGCCACATGTTCCATGCTGACTGTTTGCTGCAGGCTGTGAGGCCTGGCCTGCCAGCCTATAAGCAGGCCCGGCTGGAGGAGCTGCAGCGGAAGCTGGGGGCTGCTCCACCCCCTGCTAAGGGCTCTTCCCGGGCAAAGGAGGCCGAGGGTGGGGCTGCTGCTGGGGGTCCCAGCCGGGAGCAGCTCAAGGCTGACCTAGATGAACTGGTGGCAGCTGAGTGTGTGTACTGTGGGGAACTGATGATCCGCTCTATCGACAGACCCTTCATTGACCCCCAGCGCTACAAGGAGGAGCATCTCAGCTGGCTGTAGGAGGGTATCGTGCCTGACGGGTGGGCAGGCAGTTGGAGGCAGCTACTTGCCCCCTCTTGGGAAGGCTACACCATAGACCGCTGGGCTGTGACTGGGGCATGGGGGGCAGTGGTGGAGTTTTAGCTGTGGCCTGCAAGGTGTTTAGCTGTGAGTGCATCCTGCTGGCTGCCTGTGCTGTTCTTTAGAGATGCTTTAGAGCTGCTGTTTGCCAGACCATCAGCTGCCTCCCATTAGAGGGTGTTAGCCTAGAGAAGTCAATTCTGACCCCACACCGTCCCCCCTACATCTGACAGCTCTTTTTTCCTTTTCATTCCCCACACACATCCTGTTCATCTAGAGTGAGCACACATTCTTCGTTTTTACTCTGGCTCATTTTCCTCAGAGGCAGCCTTCTCTTATGTCTGCCTCTGTGCATCCAGCCACTGGTGGTGGGAAAGGTACTGGTGGTGAGCATACTCGTGCACACTGCCTGGGGCTCTAGTGTGAGGGACAGAGGGCCTCATGGAGGACAGCAGGAGATGGTGCTGAGGGTGGAGAGCATTAAACTGCCTGCAGTGCTCTGGCTGTGCTGGAGTTGATGGCTTTGTGTTGATGCTGGGCTGAGGGGCCTGTGAGTGATCCAGGAGGGGCTGGGCTGCCAGGGCCTGCATGCTTTCAAGTTTTGGCGCTTACTCCTTCACCTAGAGATGTGATGGGACCATTTCGCCATTTTCTGCTCTCTCCCTTCTCCCTCCCCTCTAACCTCTCTGACTCCAAGCCTCAGTTGGGAACTCCAGCCCACAGCACTCTCTTGGAGCAGAGACTGTTCTTCTCTCTGGCCAGCAGGTGGTAATGCTTCCCACAGAATCCTTTACACTCAGGCAGCTGAGTGCTCTGATTTCTCACTTTGTCCATTGTGCTTTCGCAGTCTGTTTTCTCCCTAGTTGACCCAAGAATTTTCTGGGAGTCTGCACTGCCTAACCATGAATTTAAGCCCCTCATTCTTTCTCCCTCTACCAGCCCTTATGCATGCTAGATTTTCTTGCTCCTGTCTTTGCCAGCCTGGATCTCTGCATTCCAGCTTTGGTACCGGCCTTCCACAGTATTTAACCATCATGTTGAGGTCCTGCCTGGAGGTGAGACTGCCACCTTCACCGCCACCATCCCTGGCATTTGGCAGATGTGTTTTCTGCCTGTCTAGCTCCTGGGACCTGCTCCTCCCGCTAGATTACACTTCTTTGGTTGGAGGGTAAGCCCTAGGGAGTCCTGGAACAGGACCTTACTGTGACAACACCTGAGCACCCTTTGCCCCATGGACTGGTGTTCACAGTCCACTGCCTAGCTCTGTGGGTGTGGTCTATCAGCTGCTGACTGAAATAAAATAAATGAGTGTTCCTGGAATCAGGCTGGGGTCAGGCTACCTGGCCCGTGACTGCAGGCTTCTCTCTATCCCCTACAGCCTTATCCTCTTCAAAGGTATTTATCTCCTTTAGTCCTGGTGGAATCTTACCCTGCTTAGTTCCCCAAATACTAGAATAGGGCCAATTGAGAAGGCTGGAAGTTGTCTGTCTTTGATGAGCCTCAGACTTCTCCATCTTCCCCTGAAAGAAAGAGTGGGAGCAAATGAAGTGGGGTTCCACGTGGGTGGAGAGCATCCTAATCCTGTCCCCTTTCCCTGTTGCAGGAAGATTTGGAGGACTCCTGTTCCCTTTCTCTCCCCTAGTGACCCAAGACTCCCTTCATACCTAGACTTCCCCAGTAGAGGGCTCAGGAGTACTATTCCCCCGTATTAGGTACAAACCTCGGCCTACTCCTGGCATGGTCACTTGCCTACTTAGAACAGCTTGGAGCTGCTGTCTTTGCACATAATGGGTTCCTAATACATGTTATTTAAACAAACACTGCCCTATTGCTCCCTCTTCCCAGAGGACTTGGCTAACAGGGCCTGGGACGCCTCTGCCCCTTCTGTCCTCTCTTAAGCCTGCCCATCTGGTCACAGGCTGCTTCCTCCTTTCTGGAAAAAGGCCCTGGGCTTCTCTGGCACTGACAGAATGGGGTTCCGTTGAGTCAGGGCAATGGGAAACCGCAGCTCTTAGATCCCTGGAAACCAAGCAAGGCCTAGAATAGAGGGGGGATTGAAGGCCCTCAGGGCCTTGGCCCTAAGCCTGGATGGGGGAGGAGCAGCTGTGTGGGTAGAGGCCAAGATGAATGAGCTGCTCCTGGAGAGGTCACTGGAAATAGGAGGAGTGGCCACAGACAGTGACGCTGGGATCAGGGCAGGAGGCCTGTAAACAAGGAAGCCACCTGGGGGAGACACAGGGCGGCCACTAGTCCTGGGGAGCAGGTGCTTCCTGAGGCCCGCCCTTGAGAGGGCCCTAGGGGGCTGGACGGCCAAGCCGGCAGAGGGCACTAGGGGGCGCTGACTACTGGTTTCCTGAGCCCCCGGCTCCGTCCACAGCCACATGGGGTGTGGCTATCGGAGGGTGTGCCAAACCAGCGTCCAGGCCTGCTAGCTGGCCTGGCCACTCTCCCTTCTGTCGCCAAGACAGACTGGCCAACAGCAACAGGCCTTGCAGGGATGGTGCGGGGCTCAGAGCCTGGCCACCCTGGGTGTGAGCTCATTCCCCTGGGGCCAGCAATTCTCGAAGTTCCCACCCGACCGGGCCCTCACCACCTCCACTGGTTGGGAGGGGGCCCCCGAAGCCACTAGGCCCCAGGCTGCCCTTGGCGCTGCCCCCCTGGCTCCAGGGAAAATAAAAGGTTAGGGGGCCCAGAGGGAGTTATCTGGCCCCACCACCACCGGGGAAAGGGGGAGGGTCCAAGAGGGGCACACCTCCTTCCACTCCCCAAGTTGTGCAGATTCTTCGAGACACTTTCACAGGCGGAAATTCCCAGAGGTCAGAGGAGGGAAATGGTTAATTCCTTTTATTCAATGGGTCCCCCTACACTCCTCCCCCCAACTTCCTCCCTCCACTTCCCGCCCCCCCCTGTGTGAACAGGAAGTGGAGAGGAAAAAGCTCTGAGCAGAGCAGCTGGGAGCAGGAGGCAGGGAGTGGGAGGCAGGCTTGGTGCCAGCCCTGCCCCTCACGGAGGGCCAGACCCACTGTGGCCTGGGAAAGAACCTGCAGCCCCACTGGTGAGTGGCAGCAGAGCCAGGAAACAGCCTAGTGTCCAAGTCCCCTTCCCTTAGCTTACTCCCAAGTGAGGCTACTGCCCTGAGGATGCAGAACAGCCTCTGTCCAAAGACCCAGCTGTCTTTGCCTCTGAAGCCCCACCCCCACTGCAGTCTGGGCATCCCAGGCTGGCGGGCATCTCTTCAGGCAGCCGCCAATCCTGGCACTGGCTAGCTGACCCTGCCAGTTCTTTGAAGCTCATGCAGCACTTCCTGTTTGGGGCAGGCCATGCCAGGGTCCCACCCCCACCATTGTTCTGCAGAGACCATACGTCCATCTGCTGCCCCATGGTGAGGCCCCTCGGCAGTGCCACACGGGAACAGCACCACAAAGGACCCTGCTGGCAGCTTTGCTTATATGGAGCAAGGCTGGGCCCTGCAGCAGGTTGAGGGTGACGGGTGGTCAGAGGCAGGCCTGGGGTGGGCAGTGAGATAGAAGGAGGATGCTAGATAGTTCTAGTTCTTGGGCCGCTGGAGCCCTCAGTTTTCTCCACCTGGAGCATGGAGAGGGACACGATTCTTAACGCACAGATTCCAAAAGCCTAGATTACCACTGCCAGAAGATAGAGCAGCAGAGATCTCAGATAAAGGCCATAGAATGCTGTGGGACCTTTGTTCAAATAAAAACCTTCATGGATATCCAATACCTGAAATTGATATGCTGAGCTTCCCTGGTGGAATCTGGGCTGGAGGGTCCACACCTTTATTTACTGTTGTTTCCTCTACCATTCCAATCTTTATGGGATGCTAGGATGCGCAGGAACCCAGTTTGAAAACCATTGAGCTGGTAATCCCACTCCTGAATTTGCAGATGGTGAATCTAAGGAGAAATCGGTGGCTGACACAAGGCTCCATCCAGGATCCTCTCCCCTTTCCATGAGATTCAGCATCAGTCAACAGTGATCCCGTGCCCAGTGGGCCCAACCCTTCATTATGCTCGCTGTCCATCTCCAGCCAAAACGAGCTGAGGGACGGGTTGATCTGGAAAGAGCAAGTGCAAGTCTCTGCTCTGCCGTTTACTAGCTGTCAGTTTAATCACGCTCTCAGAACCTCAATTTCCTCATCTATAAAATATGAATAATTATAGCAGAGGGTATAGCATAGACAAGAGCAGGGCAGCACTCTGCAAGGTTAGCCCAGGGCCTGACCCCTGAGCAGTTCCTGTTGGCTTGTTTCTCTTCCACTTTACTCCTCCACTCCCCTTACTCCTCTAGGATTGGGACCCTGTGAGCCTATCCTGGCTCTTCCCTCACAAATCCCTCTGATCTCTGGGAATCAGAGTGGAATAGGAAGAAAGAGGCTTACTTAAGGCTTTTCTGGTTTCTGATTCTGGGGAAGAGAGGTTCAGGATGAATACTAGATACAAAGCCCTCTGGCATGCATATAGAATATAGCCACTGAGGGGATAGAAATGCTGCCTTGGGGGACTGGGTCCTGGTTTCCTAGAGGTAAGAGGGCAGGGAATGGATAGGATAGGCTGAGGGGTCTGGACGTGGCTCCACTGCCAGCCTGCCCTCATGGTCCAGCCCAGAGCTTGCACAACAGCCTGGCTGGCTGGCACTCCCCTGGGAGCCTCAGGAAGTTCCCCTTGCCCCCCCTTGACCTTTGACCCTTCAGGCCTGCTGTAGGCCAGAATTCCAGGCAGCTGTCCTCTCTTTTACCTTCTGTTCCTGACCATTTCCCTTTAAGGCTGGAAGTCAGAGACACCCCAACCCCCCACCGTATAGCTCATCTTTTCACAAGCTCATGGGTACAGACCAGCTGGAGCCTCCCCTGGGGCAGCAACTCCCCTGAGCCAGCAGGGAGCCTCAGCCACAGGCCAGCAGGACCCATGGAGTCCTGGCTATCTAAAGGGTCCAAGGCCATACAGGAGAGCCCCCAAAAAGTGCTTCTCAACTCCCAGGTTCCCTGCTCAACTCCATTCCTGTGCCAGAGCCCAGCGGGTGAAGTCAGGAAGAGCACACAGAACTTCTTTCTCTTCCACCATCCTCTGAGCAGTCGGAGTCAAAGGAACCCTTGATGGGGTTCCACGTCAAACCATGCTGCACCTCACAGCATGCAGTTTCACAATCAAATAATTCCCTTTGATTTTCTGGCGGAATTTTTGCTTTTATTTTTTAGGGTTTCTTGGCCTTTTTTTTTAAAGCAATCAGTCTAAATTTGTCATTGCACATCCCCCATTTCCGCCCTAAGGGCCTCCTTTTTATCCCCTGGAATCTGGAAACCGTATGTGTGGGCAGAAACCCCCCAGCATCCCCCAGGGCACCCTGGCCCAGCCTGGCCTCCACAGGAGCAGCCCCTTAGCTGGGAAAGAGCCTTCGCTCCAGCCTGGGGCTGGAAAGGGAGTTTCTCTTTGGACCTTCCCAGTTCAAGCCATGGAGAAGACATGTGGTCTAGTGGTTAGAACTGGAACACATGGGTTTTATCCCCAGCAATTGCTTTGACTAACCCCAGCAGCCTGGGAAAGTCCCCTTGGTACTCAAGGGACTCAGTTTCCCCATTGGCTGAGGGGCTCAGAGCTTCATCAGCTAACTCATCTCCTATTTGCCTTGGTAAAAGGAGTTTTTGATCCAACTTTTTGCTTTGTCCTTTACAATCTGTGTGACCTTGACAAACATCTTAATCTTTCCTAATCTCAATTTCCTCATCTGTAAATGACTTTAGAGACTATTATTGTACCTTCTTCCTGGTTGTTGTTAGGGTTAAATGAGAAAACATATTCTCAAGGGTCTAGTGCTAGACATGCTATAAAAGTTCAATAAACAGTAGTTATTGTTAATAAGTAGAAATACACAATGCGGTGGGAGTGTGTTCTTGGTGGGCATTGCTCTGAGGCTCAGCCTGTCTGCCACTGCCTCTCCTACTTAGGCTGCCCTACCCAGACCTTCCCTCCTCCATCTCTAGAAGGGGCAGGGATGTGTTACCAGTTGTGGATCAGGGCTGAGGCTCTGCTGCTCGTCCCTGTCTCCATGGTGACCCCAGCCCCTCCCCTCCTTCCTTCCTCAGGAGCTTTCTGTTTACTGTAAACAGCTGCCCCTGCTCAGCTCTAGCTGATCCCACCCAGGGCAGCCAGACCCTCTCTGAACTGGGGACTGGCTTTATGTGTGAAGATATGAGCATAGTGTCCTGGGCCTCGACATGGCCTTGAACAGGCTCTGTTTTGCCACCTTGACTGGAGGGGAGGGGATAAGAAGAGGGAAGGGCCTGTCACCTCAGCCCAGGGCAGCCA